CTTTTTCAAATTACTTTTGTAATTTAGATCTTTGAACACACAATATCCGTAGATATTGGCACAGGTCTTAGAAACCTTTGTTAATATTTATAATTCATTCTCTTTACTTAAGTTTAATTGATCCTCTCCCAACATCATATGCTTATAGTGATTCTCAGTGAAACCCACTATCCAGAATCACTGTAACAATAATTAGTAATATAATTTAGATAATATAAATATATATAATATAACTATTTTAAAGTAATAGATATTTAAAATTATATATTATATGAAACATAATAGTATAGTATATACAAATAGAAATAAATAAATAAATAAATACAATCAATAAAAAAAGTTATATAAAGAAGATAATAAATATATAATTATAATTAGTATAGTATATTAAATAAATATATATAATATTATTTTATAAGTTTGAGAAAATTTGTATATTATAACTTGAGTTAATATACAAAAGTATATTTTAATTTACAATAACAATCAAAATTAATACAACATTCAAATCATAAATTTTTAAATTATTATATGTCTTTCAAATTTAAAAATATTAAATCATGATTAATATAATTAAATATTATAATGCTATAAATTGATATGTTATAAATTCAATATGAATTATTAATTTATTTTTTTTCTAAATTCAAAAAATATTTGAAATTTGATATTATATTATTTTTGTTCTTTTTCTTTGCAAATTAAATAACATAATTAAAGCTATATAATTTTATTAATAATTATTGATCTGTTTTTTCTCTTAATATTGAAGCTTCTTGGCACACAGAAGAAGACAAAGTGTCATACAAGTTCAGAAAAAAGAGCAGAGATAATTTTTGCTCTTGAAAAAGGGTACTCTACATGAGAAAACAAAATATTAGTGCTTTTACTATCATTCATATAAATTAAAGATAGTATCAAAATCATACTCTTTCTGATACCAGCAAACCTGATCATTCAAATGTTGTGAATGAGAAACTAAAATGAAAAATTATTAATATGATCATTTTCTGTAGATGCTCAATTTCTTCGAAGTCTAAAATTACTTTTATAAAAATAAAAATCTCAAAGTTTCTGTACTAATCATTCACTATATACTTAATGATAATATATTAGTATCAAGAGTAAAGTGAAAAAAGCTATATTTGAAGAAAGAACATTGAAAACATAGACTAGAGTTTGCAAAAAAATACGAAAATTAGATCAAAAAAGAGTGAGCAAGAATAATTTGGTCTAATGAGTCAAAATTTAATATTTTTAGATTAAATAAGCATAAATACTATTAAAAAAAGAGAAATCATTAAAAAACATGCATATTAAACCTATAGTTAAATTTAATAATAATGAAATAATAGTGTGAGATTGCTTCACTACTTATGGTGTTAGTTATTTTTGTAAAATCAAAGAAATTATGAATAATATATTATATAGAGAAATTCTTGTAGAAGAACTTATAGATATTATTAAATATTATGATTATATGCTTAATGATATTGTTTTTTAACAAGACAATGATCTGAAGCATACCACTATAAATAAAAAAAAATTGTTCATTGATAATAAAGTCAATGTACTTGATTGATCATTCCAATTACCTGATTTTAATCTGATCGAGCACCTATAAAATATTATTAATTGCTATCTACGTCATCTTTTGAATATGATTTCAGATAAAAAGGATTTGTGGAAGCAAATTCAGGATGTGTGGAATGATATTGAAGTCGAGATATGCACTTATCTTATCAAGTCAATGCCAAAAAGAATATCAAATGTAATAAAGACTCATAATGAATATATGATATTGAAGTCAAAACATGCACTTGTCTTATTGAGTCAATATCAAAAAGAATATCAGATATAATAAAGACTTGTAGTGAATATATGAGATGATAAAGCTAAACTAGATTAGTTAGTTTTTAAAAAAAATGTAAAAAAACAATTTTTTTTATTGATTTATATGAGTAATTTTTATTGTGTTTAAAAATAATATAATACATAATATTAAATATATTTTTAATTTAAAAAAAATTTAAATTATTAACATAGTAATAAATTTATACTTATAAAACTGTAGCATTATATTATTTAATAATATTAATTATAATTTGATATTTTTAAATTTGAAAGAGATATAATAATCTAAAAATTGTAATTTAAATGTTACATTATTTTTAATTATCAATATATATATAATATATCAGTATATTCTATATATTTATATAGTATCTATAATATTAAACAGAATATAAATATACTAATAAGATATAAAGTACTAGTTAATAGATATCTAATAATATAGTTACCTATTCAAATATCAAAGCAATGGACTGATAATGATAGTGAGATAGATATATATAAGATAGATAATGAGTATCAATCACATTCAGATTAGTTCAATATAATAAGTAAATCAATCTAATTATAAAAAAGATTTGTATAATAATATTGTTATACAAAATATTACTTATCTTTTATTCTTGTCTTTTTGAATAATGAAATATAAAGATTTTCATATTTATCTAGGAGAGCATTAAATAAATTTTTCCAATTACTTGTTTATTAAATAAAAATTCATGACAAATTCAATATAATTCACATTCAAATATAGATTATTTATATCTAATTATTTATGATATTTCAATATAGTATATATATATATTCTATCAGATAAAAATTAACTATCCATTATTTTTCTATTTCATTTTCAATTCACTATCCAATTCATCATCTGGTCAATCAACTGGAATTCAAAAATTAGTATTGAGTTTTAATTTATTGGTTAATGATCTAATACTAGCTCTAATATGCTATATAATCTATTATATAGATATTATCCAATTCAGATAGAAATATAGAAATTAGTCACTATATAGTGATCTTTTAGAATATTGTGAACACTTTTTAAAATACAATAATGCAAAAATCAATAAAAAAGCAAGATTTATATTTTAAGCTAATAGAATCATTGAAATATATTGTATATTAGATCAAAATTTCAAGTGATTTCAATAACTAGTTCAATATATATATAAATATAAAAAATAAAATTTAGTATCAAACCAAAATTTATGTGAAAAATATTATTTTATAAAAATGCAAATAACTTCGCATCCAGTAAATCAAATTAAATAAGATTTTATTAGCAAATTCTTCAAGTTAAGACACATCTAATGATATCAAAATCATTCAATCTGGATTATTAGATATAGAGATATCAATTCCAATTTTAGTATGGTATTTTTGAGATATTATATCTCTGCATCAAGTGATTCAAATTATATGATTTTGATATCATTAGATGTGTCTTGACTTGGTGAATCTGATGATATAAAATTATTTAATTTGGTTTATTGGGTATGAAGATATTTGCATCTTTATAAAATAGAATTTTTTTTGCATAAATTTTCAGTTTGATGCTAAACTTTATTTTATATATATTGAACTAGTTATCGAAATCACTTGAAATTTTGATACAATGTACAATATGTTTCAATGATTCTGTTAGCTTAGAATCATAAATCTTACTTTTTTATTGGTTTTTGTGTTATTGTATTTTAAAAAGTGTCCACAATATTCTGGGAGGCCACTGTAGTATCCGAATCTGAACTAGCTCTCGAATTAGGACCAGATATATTGTATACCTTAGATATCAATGGTTATCGTATGTATTTGAACTGTGTGTATGATAGTGTAGAGCTTAAATCCAGCTTGGAATTATGAATACCGAATTGATAAATGTCGAGCGTGCAAGCGATTCATGTACTAGATAGGTGATAAAACTGATCGATAGCATCGTTAAACAAGAAGAAGGGTTAGATACTCTTCGTGGCTATGTAAATATTAGTAAACGTAATCGTTGGCTGTTAAATGATATAGTCACATTGTATGGTGTAGTGTAGAATTAGTGACAGATACTGACGAACAAAGTTGAGCCTAATTTTTTATCCGTTATAATTTTGTTTACAACTTCAGATAAATTTTCCTTTTTTTGTTGGTGAATGTCATTAAAATTTTCTAATTCATCATCTTTTTTATTTGTAAGCTTAGTAATTTTTTCTTTTAATCGTTTAATTGTTCGGTTAGCTGTGTATAATGCTTGTTGAACAAGCATTATATTTCAACATTAATGCTTGAATACTTAATGGTGAAAAGATTTTTCCAGACGGATCTAAATGAATACCAGATTGAATATGTTCCTCTTCGTCATCAGTATTATCATATAATATCATATCAATTTCGCGTTTTTTTCTTTGAATACTATTTATGGGAGTATTTTCCTTTTTGATAGCAGATTGAAGTTTTTTAAAAGAAGAATCAGATTGTGAAAGAGTTGTTGATGCCATAGACGGATATAGATTAGGAAAAACATTATGAAGTGCTATTTGCAAGAGTTTAATAGTTTCCAAATGAAAAGGACTCAAAAGAGAATGAAGTGACGTGTTTTGAAGTTTGTTTTGTCGAATAAATAAATGAAACCATAAAAATTCTTTTCCTTTTTTTTTTATTTCTGAAAACGTTTCATCAATTTCATAATCCTCCCAAAGCAAAATTAGTCGTTGATTTTCTTCACCAAATCATTAATGTGTAAAAGTGGAATACAGGTGGTATCCAAGTTTTTAACGTGAATATATCCTGCATTTATATTATTGAGTTCCGAAATTTCAATATTTTATCAAAATCTTTGTCCAACTGAAATTCACGAAACTCCTTATGAATGTCTAATACATAAAGCCTTTTAATCTCTCTAACTAGCCAGCTGCCATTAGGACGTTTATAAGCAACTCTATCGCTTTTGTTTTGTTGTTCATTAGAAAAAATCAATCACGTTTACAAACAAATAATACGAACATAAAAATCTAGAAAATCTTTCAACTTTGTATTTCTATTATTGTAATGGTCAATCACAATCATAACGATAATACGCATAACGATGATAATAATCTAACGCTACAAATCAGAGTACATATATACAGTCCCCTTTGCTGTTGTTTTTGGTCGGGCGACGTTTTCCATTCAGTTTTGCTGTTGTTGGTTGACCATATTTTGTGCTGGTACTCTTCGTTAATAAATGCAGCTTCTTCCAGTCAGATTTTGGCATATATGTTCTTTACGGTGGATTTCCTATCGTAGTAGATCTGTAGCTTGTGTTTTCCTGCTTGTTGGCAGTTTTCGTCCAGTTTCTAAATTCGTAGTCAGTTATGATTCCTCTGAGTTACCGTTTGCGGTTTTAGTTAAATCGATCTGATATTATTGGTGCAATTGTTGGTGCGGTTTTGTGGTTCATGGAAGCATTTTTAAGCGGAAATGACTGGTAAATCCAATATTATCGTATTTCACATAAGATATTGATTACTGAGTTTAAGTACCTTGTTTAACCGAAGCACTAATAAAAATCTTAATAAACTACAGGAACAACTGTCGTTAAATTGCACCGACCACTTTGGTTTAGCAGAACTATATAAAATACAAATTTGAGTGTCAAACACATATATGTCTATCAGCGATACGATGTTGCAAACGCTAAATCAAATCAAACTATGCATACACACACGGATGTCGTCCAAAATCCCGACGGTTCAAAATCCTGACCAACATTTACGGCTCAAAACGTGACATTGCACTAATGTTATGCACATAAAGCTAAAGTAAGGGCATGTATGTAAGGGTAAGCGTCAGTGCTGAGAGATAAGATTAGCGTTATGCGTATTGGCACCGGTGTTTTACTTCTTTTAATGTCATGCTTTTAATTTTTGAACGTCAGGATTCTGTTTCGGGATTTTGTTTGAGTACGTACGTATGTTGTTAGATTTAATCAGGATTCGGTACCAGATCCTACGAATGATATAGCGATAGATTCAAAGTACTGCAACTTTATTACCATTTTTCTTAAAAATGGTATAAATAAATTATCTCAAAACTAAAATAATTAATAGATAAACTTTTACCGAAGAAGCGGAAAGAATTTTTAGAATTCCATCGAAAAAAGAAAAAAAGTTTAATACATGTACATGTACGTATGTAGCTTCTCAAAAATAGCAATGATCATTCCTATAGCATTCGAAAACTAACGCATCTTTATTCAAAATAATATTACGGATAATTTTCTCAAAAACAAGTTACCTAAAAACAAAAAAATAACAATAAAATGAATCATCACCGAAGAAATTAAAAGACTTTAGAATTCCGTCGTGAATAAAAAAAGGTTTATATATATATTCTCAAATCATTCCTATTTTTGATATCATTTCTAACACCATTTGAAACTAACAATTTTATTCGAAGATTTATTGCAAGCAGTCTAAGTAAATTGTTCAAACAATTGAAAAACTTAGAGAGAAGAATTTGTATCAGTTTGGAAGCCATATCGATATCTATATGCACTTTTTTTTGCCGATGATCAACACATTTTGATGACATCATTTTCTATACCCTTAAACGGATGCTTCACCATTGGTTCAATCATTTTTCATACCAAACAGGCATTCCAAGATAATTGCAAGGTTGTCTCATCAGAAACACAACCTTACACCAGTCATAATTGAGATGATTGTTTGCCCATTGAAGTCAGTTCTTTTTAGCTTGTTGGGTGAGAAGAGGAGAGCATCTTGGCAATGCCAAGTACATAATTGCAATGGAAATTTATCAATTGTTGATCTTTTAATAATGATTTTTTCATATCGATATCCATGCCATAATTCTGGAACTATGTAATTTATCTTTAATAAATTCTCGAAGTTTTAACATTAAATGCGAATATTCAATGTTGATCAAATTTTAACCATTTCATCAACATTGCTACTAGCGGCTGCACCAACAAGATCATACCCATTAAGAAACAAAAACACCGATGCCCGACTCTCTTGTTCCCATCAAAACATTCACGATGCTTTCTCCGAGATCAGCAGTAAGTCTAAAAAATAACGCCTTTTTCATAAAAGTACGAGCCGATTCAAGCAATTTAATGTTATTATGATCCATACGTTTATTAGTGAATTATGTATTTCAATAAAGGTGTCCAAGTCCAGCCGTATTGGCTAACAGATTATTATAATTAATCATTGTGAGAATCTCCTTCCAGGTCCTTTGTCCGAAGAATCTCCAAACTCGGGTATTTTTGATAAGTGGCACGTTTGGACAAACCTATACATGTTTGTGAGCGATGAATGCGAAGAGGGTGGGGTGACGTGAGTGGAAATCGTGGCGACGAAAAGGCCAGGTTTATTAGAATCGAGATTTGAATAAATAAATACGACAATTATCGATTACTGAAACGTAAGTGAAAAAATAAAGACGCTTCCGATAGTTACGAGTGCCTCATTGCGTAGGAAGACGGGAGGAAGCCGCATTAAAATAGCTTTTAAGAAACGGCATTTTATGCACTAACGCGATAATAAAATGATGTTAATTTGTCTCGATTTTTTTGCAACGTGTCTACTTGCATTATGCATCCTTGGGTTTCGTCCTAGCTCACAGGACTCATCAGTTGGCTTTTGCGAGCAATGCCAAGACCCGAGAAATCCATTAGGTATTTCTGGAGCCAATAATAAAAAATCACAATCAACAAAATAAAAAAATACACTTTTCTCTTTCACTCCTTAAATTTCAGCGTGGTTCCATTCTAATTGTCAAGCAAGTTAAGTACAACAAGCACAAGTATTTACCATTCGCGCTGTCATTCATTCCGTCTGTTCTAATCGTCAAGCTAATAATTGCATATGAAAAGAAATATGTTTTTGTTATGGTGGTGATTATATAGTTTTCGACTAAATAATTATGTGAATGACAACGATAAATTATAACCTCACAAATAAGCCAAAATACACTGCGTGGGAATGGTTTCGTGTTTTTGTGTTATCGTAATTTAATTAGCATCGTCATCGTTATCGTTATACACCCCCCCCAAGCTCATCGTTTTTCAATTTTTAAAATGGCAAGCTCAAATATAGATTATTTTAAGAATTTTTCGACAAAATATCCAACACCGTTTGGTTACTTTTATAGTAAGCTTCAGTTGGGAATCTTTACACACGATAAGATACAAGAAACCCGGAACTTCAATAAAGTAATTATGGAAAGTATCGATAGTAATTTTCCAAAAAAAGAAAAATTATTAAAGGCGAAGGACATTTGGAATACGGTTAAGTACACCTTTTTTTAAATTGCTCTAATGAAGGGATTTAAAAGCTGTGCGCAAGTTGGTTAAAGGTCGCTTAACGCCTGAGACCAGATCTGTATTGCATAACAGATTGCAGCTTAATACCTGACCTGATTGTCAGAGCGATTATATTTTATTAACTAATGTTTGTCTATCTGTGTTTTTAGAAACAAGGGAAAGATGCTCTCGCTTCATGGTGGGAATTTCCTAAAGAGTACCAAGACAAAGTTATTGATACCATGTGCCTCTTTATTAACGCATATGATAGCATAGAAGATGGCGAGGAATATTCAAATTTATCGAAAACCTCAGTACAAGATATGGGATTATTGTCAGCCAGTACTAGCAATAATGATGAAGATGAACTTCATATCGGTTTAGAATTTGACGATAATGATGGAGATAACGCGCACTCTTCGTCACCTGTAGATAATACATCATCGATGAGTAGATCTGTATCCAAATCAAAAATAATAACCCGATCAAATAATGCTGCTGCTACTGATAATTATCTTCGTCCCATGGAACGCCATGATTATAAGTTGGACGGTAGTTTACCAACAAAAAAACGAAAACCCAGAAAGAAGAAAGATGCTATGAATGAGTCTAATAATAACCAGTCCGCCGTTGATAACAATTCCATCTCTGGCTCACCTAGTGTTAATAATGATAATTCGGTTTCTGGATCACCTAGTGTCAATAATGATGATAACAATAATCAGCTGCCGGATTTTGTAAATATGTCTGATACTGAATTTACTTCAGCGATTGCTGCCACTGGTGCTTCTGGATCATTTTACGCTGATAATAATGAAGACAATGAGCAGTTGTCAAAAAAACGAAGACAATCTTTATTGATAAATAATGGGACTGGAAGTAAACGTCTTCGTTTAAATATGAAAGAATGGACAATAGAAGAAGATGAGAAATTGGTAACATTGGTAAATCGTTTGACTGTAGTTCCATGGAACGAAATCGCTCAGTGCATTAAAACTCGTAATGCCACCGAGTGTTTGGATCGGTGGACTTTTTTAAAAAGACAATTAAATTAGCATCGATAGCTATTACATCTAGTTGTATATTTATTTTTAAATAAATAAATTGTTAAATTCACTTTATAGATGTACTGTTTATATTTTCTCTTTTAAATATATTACAATTTTATTAAATTTATATTACTAAAGTGAATTTATTAGTTAGAATCAGTAATAAATATCTGAAATTATATCCATGGATATTTGAAGAAAAATGTATATATGAGAAGATTTTGTGATCATTTCATTGCAAAAACCTATTGCTCTTGATAGCGGGAATAATGCAAATCATTATTTTAACCTTATATATAGAGCTCTAAGACACAAAGATAATAACTACTTAGTAATGGAACATCATGAAATTGTGAAGGATTGGTTTGATATTTATTATAAAATATAAAATATTTAACTTTTTTATAATAATTATAGAGTTTTGAAATTTAAAATAAATATTTGTTTATTTGTTTGAATTAATATTAATAAAAATAAAAATTCTAAAAAAAATTTATTGATTATTCTATTTCTTTTAAGAGCCAAGCTAAAAAATTATTTAATTTAAAATTTTTAAGATTATTAAATATTAATCAAGTTCTACTTATTATTCTTTCAAGTATTTTAGTAAAAAGTCTCTCTAAATACACACACTTAGAAACTTAATATATATGTACTTATAAAGAGTGTGCAATTAAAGAATAATTAATAAAAAAATAAATATAATTATTAATTATATATTATGAATTAAATTAAATTTATATAATGATATATATAATTATATTTTAATCAATTAGATATATAGTAACAATCAGAAATAATACCATTAAAATTTATTAATTAAATATAATAAAATACAGATTTTTTTCTTTATATAAAAGTTTTCAATTTACTAATAAATATTTTTTTATTTTTATATTAAAATAAAAATAATATCACATATTTTAATATATATTTTTTTAGATTTAATTTGATAAAGCTGTTTTAATTATATATAAAATCAATTATTAATTCATATCTAAATTAATAATTTATAAATAAATTATTGTAAATAAATTATTATAAATAAAAATTAATTATTTTTCTTTATTAAATTCTAATAATAACTCATTATTATTAAAATTAAATATACCTTTTTCTAAAACTTAATTAATATAAATTATAAAAGATAATATAAAAGGGGAGTGAATAAATAATTGTTCATTTTTCTATTAATAGCTAGTGCTATTTGAGATGTGTAATGTGATTCTTTCTTTTAATTGATCACTGGTCTTTTGACTAATTTTTCCAATTATTCCTGGAGTTAATTGTTTATCCATTTTATAAGATCGAAGTATATTTTTGTGACCATTGAAATATTGATATATTCTTAAGACTAAAGCATGTTTTGAAGTAGCGTCAGTGGAAATAACATAATTATGTTATTTCCACTTACTCTAGGTTATTCCCACTTAGGTGTGATGACAAGATCATATATGCATCGTCATTTGAGTGACAATTGGTTCATGAGTTCGTCGTCACACTTAGGTACTCATGATCTATAAAAAAATATGACGACGACTTTGTGTTCACGTCATCACACTTGGATTCTATAAAAAATATGACGCCAATTTTATGTTCACGTCGTCACACTTGGTCGCTTTGATGGGTGATGGCTTGTATACTCTTAGAAAGTCAAATTCGATATCAATAGTGTTTTAATCACTCATATAAAATTTCGTATATCGGCTTAGTATTTCTGATTGATTTCGATTGTAAAGAAATATCTGAATTAGGTTATGACGCACTAACCTAGTCCTTCTGTGTTTTCTATTATAACCCAAATTCGATAACATTACTTGTATGCTGGTTTGGTGATCGTAACTGATTTCCGTTGCAATAAAATAGCTGAGGTAGGTTATGTTACCGGGTTGGCTTTATCGCGAGTTTGATGACTGATTACGATTATATCGTCATTTGTGGAGTCAAATATATCACGCAAATGCTATCGAGTGCTATCAATTATGTTATCGAATTATGCTATCGAGACATGTTATCGGGTATATGTTATCAAACATGTATACGAAATATATCGCGCAAATACTATCAGGTATGCTATATACACGCTATCTGGTTATGCTATCGATTAATGCTACCAAATGTGTATGCTACGTGCAGAGCATCCTACTTCGTAGAGTATATTCCGTAAATGCTATCGACAATGATGTAAGTTGCGAAAAAAGTGGGTTAGCTTTGACTATATATATGAGAAGGCAGATGTATGCTATCGATTAATGCTATATAATTTAGCTATCGGGTTATGTTATCATGTAAATGTTATCTGTCTATGTTATATGCAAGAAGGTGGATGTATAACCCTTATTTTTACTATAGGAAATCTGAAGTTACCTCCCTGACACATACCCGAAACATATTATCAAAAAGTGAAGTGTTCTTCCATATTTATTATATAATATTACCGAAGATTACTTCACCTTGACTTACCTAAAAACACATTATTGATCATATACCTGAAAATATACCATTAAGCACATACCATATCGGATGAAGTGTTCTTCCATTTCTCTACATAGTAGAGTTTCCGAAGATTACACTATAAAGTTTTCTTTATCTCTATCACATTCATTTACATTTTCACTAAGAATATTCGAGTGACGTGCGTTTTGCTTTTTACGACACAAAGATGAGTGGGTATAACTAATCATCAGATGACGTGCATTTTGCATTTGTCTGATCAATTTCGATTATAAGATACTCACCGATTTAGGTTAAGACGTACCGTCATTCGAGTGACGCGTTTTCTATTATAACCCAAATTCGATAACATTATATTGTATACCGGTTTGGTGTTCGTGGGTGATTTCTGCTACAATAGAATAACTGAATTAGGTTATGACGCCCCCATATTGTTATCACGAGTTTGATAAATCGAATACATTTTATACGTCATTTGATATCGTATGTTGGCTTATCGTTTCCAACCGATTTCCATCGTAATAAAATAGCCGAGTTAGGTTATGCTGACTTGTTGGACCTTAACGCGAGTTTACGGGTCGATTGCAATATTTGTATGCTGGCTTGGCAA